GGAAAAGCGTCCGTGCCAATGTAGACGCGCTTTTCCGCAAAAAAGCCCCGATCGTCATTTTCGCGATCAGAGCTTTTTGCGGAAACGAAATCTGTGCTGTCTACACTGGCCCTTTTCCGGAACAGTTTTCCGGAAAAGGACTTTTGCCCGAACAGGAGCAGCATAGTTTTTCCGGAAAAGCACTGATGATTTTACAGTAGATCGTCAGTGCTTTTCCGGAAATTCAAGGGGCCAGTGTAGACAGCTGGCAAGCTATTCCGGAAAAGCGTCTGATTTTCCGGAATAAGTGGCCAGTGTAGACACAGCCCAAGTGTCTAACTTCAGATACAGGAATGATACATACCCACAAATGGGAAAATCATATTTAGTACATTACAACTTTTCAAATCATACCTTACAAGAAGTATTTTGCATATAGCATTTTCCAGTTATGTATATTCATATTCATAAGCACATTGCTGTAAAGAATATGAAACACACTGTTCTCAGTATATTTGATAATAAAATTGACTTGTGTGTCATCTTTGAATATGGATTTCCAACATCTTCAACAGTGGTTGAAAAAGTAATAACTATTTTTACAGTGAGATTGGACATCTCCGCGGGATGGCTGTGTGCTTCCAGTGAGAGGCCAGCAGTTTCTAGGAACTGTGGAGAACAAAAATAAACCATTTAGATTTTAAATTCAATCTGAGAAAGCCAAATGCTGTAACCACATGCCAGTACTTCTGTTTTCTTCTGAATGATTCACTTCAAAATCTCTGTGTGGGGGGGTATAAAAACAGTGCTTAGACACAGTGCACTTGAGAGAGAGTCCTGTCAGAAGTACTATACCCTTCTTAAACTTTCTAAAAATATATATTCTTGTAATAAAAGTGCAGTGGATATTAACCATTGCAGGTTTTTAGAGTAATTGCAGGAGCTCCATTGTCCCAGCCATCAGAGCATTTAGGCAAATGCCTGGTCCTAATAGTCTTACACAGGAGAATCCACTGTTGTCTAGAGGGTTAGAGGAATTTAAGAGCAAACCGAGGACGTGTGTGGTATAGTCTAATGCTTGCAACCAGCAAAACAGATAAGTAAAAGGAGAGCATGTCACTCATATGAGGGCTATGTAAGTGTATTGTCATGCAAGGAAGTAGAAAATTATTTTCCAGAAATTGAATTTCAGGTAAACAGCTGGACATGTCTCTAGCCAGACCTTGTTTGTTTGTTTGTTCACACAGAATTCAATATTTGTGTTCCCAACTACAAGTAACTGCTATGTAGATTTTTCATTCTCATGAAGTGTCTACAGAAATAAAAAACGTGCTACTTCCACTGATGATCTTAAGAGATAGATGCAGAACATATCTTTACCACTCTAACTATTTTTAGATGACCTTGGCCTAGCAATAACTTTTTTCAACAGGTTCAGATGTCAGATTTGTTTGACATTCTAAACCAAAAAACACAATTGAGTTTGGGGTCTGCAAATATAATAACCAAATGTTGTGTATTCACATGGCAAAGTGAATTGCTTTTATATAGCTAAACACAGCTAGATCTTGGATTTGTTCCAGTAAATGGTTTTTATAGTGCTTTTCCTTGCACCTTCTTAAATTGGCTTTCCTTTGTTTGTTCCGTTAGTGTTTATGCTTATTCAGAGCTCTACAGTCAGAAACCATAGAAGCCTTATTTTCAGCAATCTTATGGAAAATGTCAGTGTGTGTTTGAAATGGGGGGGGGGGAATCTCTCAAAACTGGAGACCACAAACAGGTGTCAGGAGGTCAGGACAACCCTGCTCTTCCCATATTACTAAATGGGTAGGTTGTTCCAGAGTGGGAAGGTCATAGTATGTAATGTGGGCAATGGATTGAACCTAACACACTACAGGGTTGTAAACACATTAGCTTACCTTGTGCTTTAAACAAGAGAACCTATCGTGGCTGTGATTCAGAAACTTTGTTCCACCTGAGCACCAAAGTGAATTAAGCTAAACAGAATAAAAACCACTTTAATTCTGAATAATAGCATCCACACTGGGATTTAATGTTGTTTAACTAATCCACTTCAAATTCATACCCTTTTGATAATTTGGATTAATTTGCCAGATTGTTCCTGTGTGTACGAACCCTGCATTCTAATGGTTTATATTTTTGTCCTGTGTCGTCATATGTGTTTGAACAGCATCTAGCACATAATAGGAGCTAACAGATCACAAATAATGGTATATGAGTTTAAATAAGTTGATTATCAGTCCTCTGTCATTTTTTGATGATGATAATCAAATTACTCATTATGATCTGGGGTGTGTAATTGTTGCCATTGACTTCATTCATCTGTTTGAACCTAACTCAGTCATTTTACAGAACTGCAGTGCAAACCTACTCTGACTTCCAAGAGAAGTATAAAACACAATTCCCCCCCCTCCCCCCAAAGACGTTAATCAGTTGCAAGAAGTCTTGTATGGTTAATACAGAGCCTTTCCACCTTCTAATGTATGCACAGGGACTCCGTACTGGCATCCTGCTGTGCTATGAGCGGAATAAGTCCATGCTTATCTCGTGTTACTGTTTCATTTTTTAAATATTTATTGAATCTCACTGCATTGCTCTCCAGAGTCCTGGTGCTTACTTTTTGCGAGGGGGCCTCTTTGTCACATTTCTACGAGATTCTGAATAAACCATTGTCAGATTTCTCATCTTAGAAGGTGCTATGTGGGTGATTCAACAAAATCCATTGGTTCTTTCAGTGATGACAAGGTAGTAGAAGAGCAGCCAGAGGAAGAGGAAGAGGTAGCAGATGTGGAAGATGAAGATGCGGATGACGACGATGATGATGGTGATGAGATTGAAGAAGAGGCAGAGGAACAGTACGAAGAGGCCACAGAAAGAACTACAAGCATTGCTACCACAACCACCACAACTACAGAATCTGTAGAAGAGGTTGTTAGAGGTAAATTAATGTTTGTTTAATTTGACGTCTGGGGAATAGATCGTACTGGTGTGTATTTGCCCTTTACTACTAAAAATGTTCCAAACAGCAAAATATCCTAAGTTGCTACATCATTATGCTTTGCCTTTATATGATTTGCAAGTTTTTCCCTTTTCTATCTAATCTTAAAATACATGGATAGCGATTGCCACATATTTCATTGAGATTATTTTCATAAATAGTGTAGTAAATTATATGAGAAAAAACAGTGTTGTATGCTGATGAAACATTTGTTGTGAAAGAAAATGGAATGTTGATATAAAGTGGAAAATGTGTTAGAAAGCACTATTAGGTAGGATACTGTCTTACATCAACATTTTCTGGTTAACTATTTTATTCAGATTTGTGGCTTTTTTTATGCCTAGCATTTCTCAATAATAAGCAAATAATTATTTTTTAATCCTACATTTGATTTAGTGTATGGTTACAGATTACACATAATTTTAAATAAAATTATAATGTATTGTTGTCTGTGGGGGGGAAAGTAACAAATAGCATAAATGGGTTAAAATAGACTTTAAAATAGTACTCCATTTTTATAATCTTCTATATTGTTTCATTAAAACAAATTTTTAAACAAATTTGAGTATTAGCTTACCCATAGGCAATTTGACAGTCAAAATTATGGTAGAATTTTTTCTCTTCCTCTTGTACAATTTATTCTTTAAAGGAGCTTTTCCTAGATTTCTATATGATTTGAAACTATGGTGTAATGATTCCTCATGGTGTAATGATTATATAATGCAGGTATTATTTTTCTATATTGCTCATCCCCTTGGTACCATTGTACTTATTAAATGTCTTCATGGTGATCTTCTGCCTCCTAAGAGGTGAGAGACAGGTCAAAGACAGGAAAAAACATAGTTCCTAGGAGCTAAAATGGAAGGAGTTGCAACTTAACACATGCAGAAACAAAATGTCAAATGAAATGGCAACAGAGGCACTAACATGTACATCTCAGTCCTGGTTCCCTTGGTAGTCCTTACTAGTTGCTATTGGAATTGAAGGACCCAGATCCTTGTATCTTACAAAAGCCTACACTGACCTTCCTGTCCCTTCCCCAGGGTTGTTCTGCCCAGTTGGCTGATGTTTATGGTGTTTGGTGGTGGGGAGAACAGCACGTGTATCAGGCGAGTTCTTTGATAAAATTAATTGATGTTTCAGTAAAATTGATTTGCAAGTGATTTCTGCTTAGGCAGAAAAAGCTCTTGTTTATCCTGACTCGGTCTCCTGAGTCTGCAGTTCAGCCACTGGAGAGCCCATGTGAGACAAAAGTAAAAATCCCAGTTTAAATTCTTAAACTGCTTAACTGTATGTGAGCGCGTACTACCCAAGGATGACTCAACCTATTCTCACTGGTAAATGAATATTTTAAAAGATACACTTCACTTTAATGGGATTTGTGATGAGTTGAAATGAGAACAAATTAGTTACAGTATGACTTTTACCGAAGCTGAAATTTCCAAGAGCTTAAGATGTTCAGTCTTCAGGCGATTAGTATGTTTAATGTGAAAATAAGCTATGAAAAAGGTGAAGAAACACACTGAATTTTATATGAAAGTAGACTGCCACATATAAACATTTACTAGCTAAAGCATGGCATTCAGTGGGGCTGGTTTTAACAGCCTAAAGATAATTGCATATAGAATTGATAAAATTGATGCATCATGAAGGCAAGAGTTTGGCTGCAGGCAAATCTAGTGTAATCAGGTTTGGAGCCAGATTCCCTGTGCAGCTCTCCTGAGGCACCTCATTCCATCTGACCTTCAGCATCCTCATATCTCTTTAAATATGAGGACTCTCTTGATAGGACTATTATTTGTACCAAATTCTTTGCATAGTGTTGGTGCTGTAGATAGCTACCCCTGATTATTTCATTGAGATTCCTAAATTTTCATCGTCAAATTGTGTGTCAGGTGTTTCTGAGCTCTGAGACTAGAGTTGTTCTCCTGAAGCAAAATTCTAATGGAGTGGTCTGCAGGCCAATAACTGGTGGTCTGCAGAGAGCTGTATTTTCTCATGGTGTAAGTTCATCTCCTTGTTTCCCGCTAGTAAAATGTATTGAGAACATAAGAACGGCCATACTGTGTCAGACCACAGTCCATCTATCTCAGTATCCTGTCTTCTGACAGTGGCCAAAGAAGTGAATATACATTAAGAAATGGAGACGTTTACTAGGACATGTTGAGGATTGACAAAGGAATATTATAATATCACACATGGAAGGATAGCTAATCCCCATGATTTCAAATAGGAAGGGGGAAAGTCTGAGAGACTTCTTCTACTTAGATGTGGTCCATGCTAAGAAAGACATTTGAGAACCTTTGTAGGTGGGACTTCTTTGGCATGGGTGGCTGACTAGTGATTTTGGTTACAAGTAAAACTTAGATCACTTGTCCAAAGGACTAGGGCAGTGAAATGTATACTTATGGGGAAAAATCTGTGCCAAAAAATTAAAGCTCTTGCGCACAATATTTTAACATTCCTTATCTTAGTTGTCAGAATAATCTGATATAGTCACACTAGTTTCATGTTTTTTTGCAATTTTATTTCAAAATATCTATCTGAAAGTATGTATAAAACAGATTCAGGAAATTTTTGTTGATAGATTCCTTACTGGGCATATTAATACAGAGCTTTGAGCAATATTTCATTTAAACTACAGTACAGACCTGTGTTTCCTGCACCCCTCAGAGGCAGTGCAGAAACCTTGTGGGGTTCAGGGGAAATGGAGGAGCTAAGGAAGAGGAAAGTAATTGCTGGGCAGGAACCTGGTAGTGAATCTGGAGGGTTGTTGAGTGTGAGAGAAGATGTATAGAACAGGTTTTTGGGGGCGTAGACACAAGGACAAGGTTTGTTAGGGAGTTGGGGAGCCTCCCCCACATAGACCCACTTCCATTTAGTGAGGCACATCCACCTTGTCCTCATATGTCCCTGTACCACCATTCTGCCACCCCCTTCCCTCATCTGTGTCTGACTCCACGCTCTCGCTTCACTCCTGTCCCATGTGCCCCTGAACACTGCACTTCTCTGTCCATCCCCTCCATATCCTGTGCCTCCTCACCTAGCCTCACAGGCAGGATGTTGTGGAAAGTACCTCAGCACCCTCCAGATAGGTGACCGGCTACTCTGGCATAGAGCTGGTTGCCCTGCAGCTCCTTGCCAGAAAGTGTTAGTCTTTGGGAGATGGAGGATTCTGCAGGGGACATGAATTCTGCACGTACACCATGGCACAAAATTCCCCCAGTAGTATATACTCTCCCTGCTGATTGCACATCCAGTTCTTCCTCATACTCGCTGAAGACATAATTGTTAATAGATCCACTAGTATTAAAAAGTATGAGACAAAGTTTTTCATGTTTTATAGATGTTCTTTGTCCTACCTCATATCACTGGAAGCTGTTTTTCTTCTCAAGCCATAAATTAAACTCTTCCAATAATGGGAGATGCAAAGCCTAACCAAATAAATGGTCTGACTCCCATTGATGCTAATGGGCAGTTGACCAAATCCTAAATAAACAAAGCATGCACTATAAATTGAGGATTGTGGTGATAAAATTTATGCTTTCTGCTGTAGTTTCAATGTGTCATGCTCTTTCTTATCCCTAAGCATGTTTTAACTAGTGATGACCAAAATACCCAGAGCAAAACAGCTCACAGATATATTTCCAACCATCAGGAGCAGAACAATTTTAGTCTTGTCTGGAAAATGCCAGATCGCATGAAAGTTTCCTGACCCACTAGCTCATTGGGCCAACACAGGTAAGGAACATCTGTTTCCTACCTAGTTGTACACAAGGGACTGATGTGACCAGCATCATGGTCTGGCTATCGTAATGCAATGCATCAGGTACCATTTTGCATCTGGGTGAACTAGACGGAGAGAGAGATTTATTGATTCAATAAGAATGAAATCCACAGCCATCAGGTTTGTCATCAGGGTCTAAACCACTTAGCCATTACACCCTGACAGATTGCAATCAATTATTTCATATGTCCTGAGGCAAACATGTATTTTAAATCTGTGTTTTTAGCAGTTTTTCTTTATTTAAAGAGAGTATGGAAAGGATGGCTTTGGTGAATTCCTCTACATTATCCTAGCACAGTACTTCGCAATATGTGCATACTTTTCTCTGAAAAAGGCATTTATGCTGTAGGTTTTCATTCGGTTAGATTAAACAGAGTAATCAAAAGTCCAGTGTTCTGTATATATCTGTGCCACTAACTGGTTTTCAGTTGGCAGATCTAGCCAATGAAGCTGTGTGCCTTGACCTAGATCTGGCCTTTTCAGTTACATATTTCCCACTCCCTGAATTTGCATTCTTAAGGCTGAGTGAGTGATTTCTGCAGAATGCAGGCCCTTCACGCAACCTACATATGAAACAAGGGAAGTCTCTTTGAAGCAGAGGTGAAAGTAACCGGGTGCACTGTGGTACGCAGCTCCAGCAGGAGTTGGATGAGCTACGGCAAAAGCCAGCAGGGAGCTATTTAAAGAGATGGCAGGGACTCCGGTTGTGATAGAACAGTACCTGCAAGAAATTTTAAGTTACTTTCACCCCCTGCTTTGAAACCAGTCATAAACCTCAGATCAGCCCTAGTTCTGCTGATATCACTGCTTTACTATACAATAAATTGTTTCAGAACCAGGAAACAACAGTGAGATGCCCAGGTCTCGGGGAGTTTTTTCTAGGATTGACTGACTGGTGGAAAAACTCCAATCTCCCATGATGTGTAATTCTATGTGATTCTATTTCTGTTTTCCTTCACCATGGTTGTTGGTAAGCAACATTGTTCCTCTCCTAACTTGCATCAAAGAAAAAGCAATTCGATCTAGTTTGGAGTGTAATGCTTCCTGTCAACATATCGTTCAATTAGAGCTTATCTAAAGGCAAGCAGCAGGACCATCACAGCAACCTGTGGAACATTTGGCAGTTTGCACACGTATCAGCCAGCAGATGTGG